TTCTTTTTTGATTTACATCAGTGACATAGATGAAGGAATGGTCAATAAATTACTTAAGTTTGCTGATGATATTAAGGTCTTAGTGTTGTTGGCTGTGAGGAGGAGGATGCTGCTTTACAAAAGGATCTGGGTCATTTAGTGAGTAGGGTGAATAAATGGCAGATGTGTTTTAATTACAATAAATGCAAGATAATGCATGTGGGTTATCATAATTTGAATTATAAGTATACTTTGGATGGGAATAACCTTAACAGTGTTATGAAAGAAAGGGATCTTGGTGTAGTGGTTGATCTGTATCTTAAGCCATCCAAGCAGTGTGATGTTGCTAGTGGTAGGGCAAATAGGATTTTAGGGTGTATCTACAGTAGTACTGAATACAAGTCTAAAGAGGTTATAATTGCTTTATTTAGTTCTCTGGGTAGGTCACATTTGAAGTATTGTGTTCAGTCTTGGGCTCCTTACCTTAGGAAGGACATTGAATTGTTGGAAATGGTTCAGAGAAGGGTTACTAGAATGGTGCCTGGGATGGAGGGTTATCATATGAGAAAATATTAAGATCTCTGAAAGTGTTTTCTCTTGAAAAAAAGAATAGTAGAGGGGATCTGACTGAAGTATTTAAAGTTGTAAAGGCTAATTGATTGTGTTGATACATCATCTTTTTTCATACTTAACGGCGAGAATAGTAGGACAGGGGAAACAAATATAAATTTTGGCAAGGTAGGAGTCATCTTCAGCTACAACAGTTTTATTTATTTTTTAACAGGGTGGTTGGCTTTTGGAATGGGTTGTCTTCAGATGTTGTGGAGGCAGTAAATTTAAGTGAGTTTAAGAAAAAGCTTAATAATTAAATGAATGATAAGGGCTGACTTTAAGATATTTATTTTATTATTTTTTTAATTAATTAATTTATTTGATAGTTTTAGTTCAGTTTGGAGGATGGAACAGCCGAGATGGACCAATAGGTCCCTTGTTGTCCCTAAACATTATGTTATGTTAAATACTTAGATTATGAAATTGCTGTTCGTGACTGTCTACTTACTTTACATAATACTTGAAAAGTAGCAGGTATCTAGACTTAATTTGTAAGCTATAATCAGATAGTACAATTAAAATAATTTGGTATATTATGAATGGTCGTACACATGTTCATTAGTTGATAAGAACTGAAGTTTGTCAGAAACTAAATTGCATACAATAAACTTATTGAATACACAAGATTTCATTATGGTATGGAAATAATCTCATTTTAATGGTGTCCTACCGTTATTTAATTACCATCTACTTTTCAGTATGCGGGTGTTTCATTTTGCTTATCATTCAAGTAATTAGATTCTAGTGGACGTTAAAATTTATATATTTTTTCGTACTAACATACATAACATTTTCACTCAATATGGTGATTTTTTTTTTTTACTGAATAAGGTTTTTTATGATAAGTCCTTTTGAACTTACTAGGATGAACTGTGTGAAAAGCTTTGTACTGTTTATGCAATATTTTAAGAATCCTCTTGCATAGAATATTGTTTCTGAGGTTAACTCTGTTTGAAAAATACAATGTCTGTTATAACTGTTTGGAAGAATAACTCTTGCTTTCATTTTATGACAATTTAATATTAGAATTGAATTGTTTAATAAAAAAGGTAGGTCAGTTGACCTTACGTTATTATTTTATCGTAAACATTTTTTGATGGTTATAGTTTTACATGTGGATAGTTTATCTTCCCTGTAACTTATCATGCTATATTAGAGGGTGAATATTATTATTTTATTAAAGGTTACAGCTTTTAAAGTTAGGAAGATTATTTTTTAGAACAGGTATGATTTTTCAATCACTGGTGCGATCATTTTCAGTGACCTTCTAAAGAATAATTTTCCTTACTATAAAAGTTGTAACTTAAAATAATACTTAATCAGTAAGTAAATTCAAAACAAATTTATTATCATTATTATTAGTTATATACTTTTTTGTTTTGAAACCTAAGGCCATGGTAACAAAAGTAATAATTTTCTGTCATCAAGATATTTCAAAGGTGCCTTTTGAGTTCATTTTCAGCTTTCCAAATACGTAATATTATATTTCATTACAAACTTGGTTTGTGGAAGGAGAAAGGAGGTTTGCTTTGATTGAGTGAACATTTCATTGTTCTGTATGATATAAATCAAGATACAAACTATGAAAGAAAATATAACCAACTGAAGAGGAATTAGCAATAATACTAGTCATTTATTAATAAATCACATTTGTGCTATTGCATCTATTTTATTAACACCAGGTTAAAGACAGAAACTATGTAATTTTGCTAATAATTACAGTAATAAGCTGCTTTTTATAGCATTGGAATTAAAATACGTTTAATTTGAAATAATTAAAAAGCAGTATTTTATGAATTGGTTACTTGTAAAGATTTGTAGAATATTTATATCAAGTTTTGTGGATATTTTTTACTCATGTGAGGGTTTTGATTAAAACTAACTAATTTTTGCATGATGCAGACATGTTTGTAGACAGTTCTTATTTTCGTGTTTATTTCTATGTTCTGGAATGTACAAAGTACGATTTTAAATAAAAGAATAGGATTAAAAGTGCTTTATATTTGTATGAGGATTTGCAGTTTATAAGTACTGTGTTTTGTATGCAACTTTTTTTGTTTGCATTTCCATATGGAGGTTTAGTTTTGGTAGCTTTAGTGTGTGTATTTCCAGATAAAATTAATTTGCACAGAGTGGTGAGTTAGGTCCATAGAATAACAGGAGATTCAACAATATATTTATTACACATTAATTCTGAGTACTCTGACTTTTACTGAGTTTGAGAAAAAAAGGAGACTGAATACAAATGCACTAAAACAAAATGAAACAATCTTTATTGAAAGTCACAAACACAATCAAAATAATTTGTGTGTAAGGACAAAGGATAGTGCCCATACTATATAGTTATCTCTCCACATTAGTTAACAATGCAGGTTAAACTTTAGGACAGTATTGCAGAAAGAAGTTAAACTTCCCTTACCAAACTGAGGTCTTCAGAGAGAGAGAGGGAAAGTTAGCTAAGAGATCATAGTATTACAGACAACACTGAAATTTAAACATCATACAGAATTAATCAAAAATAATTTTTATAATGCCTATGACAGCCCCCCCCCCCCTTCCCTCCAGTGGCACAGCAGTATGTCTTTGGACTTACAGTGCTAGAAACCGGGTTTTCATACCTGTAGTGGGCAGAGCACAGATAGCCCATTGTGTAGCTTTGTGCTTAACTTCAAACAAACCTATGACAGGTTGCCCGCAGAAGTTAAAAAAAGTATTAGCATTTTAAGGAATTGATTATACAAGATGGCCCAAAAGTAATAGGGTCTTGATGCATCATAAATGTAATGTTTCTTTTGTTTTCTTAATTTAATACAGAAATTTTAAAGATGAAATAAGTGCCTTTGAAATGTATATAAAAGTTGTACCTCTGTCACTGTAAGTCAGTCCCATCAAAACATAAGGGAGATTACAACCTCGAGGTATTCCGTGACTGACCAATCGAGAAAACTACTGTTGATCTCCTTGTATAATGTGCAGCATTTCAGCCATATATCTCAAAGGGCAGAAGAGCTGTTATCTCCAAAGAATGACAAATGAACAAAAACAGCTATACATACTCAGAAAAACTGATAACTCTAGAGTAACACAATATTAATACAATAAGCTATAAAATGCAGAGTATGTTTATATACCACACCTTTCCTCTCTCCTTTACTTCACACTTGCCCTCAAGCCAATGGTTAACTTTAAAACCAAAAATTCTATACAATGGCCAAGGAGTATAGTAACTTTCTCTTGCACCTGTAAACACTTACATGCAACAAGGACAACGTGACCCTTTAGCAAATATTATAATGGATATTAAACATTACAACTGAAATAAATCAAAATCACAATTGCATAAACACCTTTTGACACAAAATATGTTTCAATAATAGCAATCTGTCACTTTTACATTTGATATAACATAATGGCTTTATCATTAATGTAATCTCAGAATCAAGATAAGCTTACAATATAGATTCAAATAAAAAGGACCCTTTAATAAGAACCTCAGTGGTAGAATAAGCACACAAGAATATCATTATTATGTAATTAAACCTTTCACGATAATATAGCATTACATTATTACAAAATAGATCGTATACGACCTTTTAATAGACATAATATAATGCACAGTTCAATCTAATATAAAATAGAAATGTAAAAATTACCGTACGTGGTGTTACATCGCAAATACATTAATGAACATCAAAACAACTACATAAAAGATAAAAAAAAACTTCTTTTTTTTTTTTAAGGGTAAGGTCACTTGTAGAAATTTAGTCTGAAATCAAGTAACTTGTTTCTCATTAATGACCTTTTATTACCTCAGCTTAGTTGAACATTCATAATTATAAGTTACACGTAATGATTTGGATTTTTTAATTGATCATCCACAGATAAG